GCAAGTCATACCAGTAAGAATTATTTTCAATTGGTCACTCAGTGCACTAGCTATTAAGGCCAACGTGTACGAATGTACACTGACATTTGGGCCCACCCTGTATATTATATATTTATGAATAGCTCCTGAAAGACATAGGAAAAATTTTAGCTTCTGTCATAAATAAATTCATAAATTCCGTGACCTTGAGTTGGTATACTGCTTTCGAAAATATTTATCCTTAAAAAGAAATGTTGCAATTATACCAGAAAGCGACGCCATCTATTGAAGCCTTGAAGGTTTGACGGAGATCCGCATGGAAAATGGCAGCTACTTTGTCGAGGATCGGTAACATCTCTAAAATAATAAAGTAATAAGATTTCGATTTTTTAGCACACTGAGAGGTTCGATCATGATAGATTAATAGTTTAAAACTATTTTCCCACACAACACAATTAAATACAATTTAATGAGCTATGTAAATAGTAATCTCGATGTTTCGTCTATGACGCAGAGCACTCTAGCCGAAAACGTTTACAATACATGATGTATATTGTTTCTGCCTGAGTGACTTCATTTCGTCCCCATTAATCTCTCGACTATCACTTCTTATATAGTTATATATTTCTCGTATATTACAAATTGTTTTTTCACTATGGACACGTGACACCATTCCACCTCGAGTTCAGAAATTTAATGAATAGTCGTATGAAGTATTCAGTATATAAACATTACACACAATGAGGCCTATTTACAGGGCAGCTATTTAAACAAGTTTTTAAAATAAAATCACACACGCAAATTCTGCGAGCTACATATATACAAAAATACTGTAACTGCCGTCTGTTTGTATTAGTGATCAGATTTTAAAAATAGTGTTGCATCTCGGAAATGGCACAAAGACCGGTTTTATCAACTTATCGAAACGTTACCATTTTGCCCGGATCTGAATAGCGCTACAGAACGATCAATCCTGCAAATGCCTAAACCTTTGTGTAAGGTTTTTAAAGCCCCACATAGTAATAATTCCTAGTAGCTAATTGGACGACTTGATTAAATTTATGACTTTGTTTAAACTAAGGCATCAAATTTTTTTGATTGGGACGAGAATTTGTAACTTTTTATATTCACAACCTATGGCAAGAATTTAATTTGAAATTGAGGATAATAATGGGAACGTAATTGGTGGTATATCTCGAAAAGAAAGACTGTTTGGCATTCAATAGTCAGTATTTTTTTCACTTCCAAAATGGACCCAAATTATATTGTCGTTAATCAGCGACCTTGAAAGAAAGCGTTCAAAAAGGCCGGAATTGGCAATCTTCTCAAATTATACCTAGCAAGAGTGTTCTCCCGATTGTCATTTTTCCTCAAATTATACCTAGTTTGGTGTACCTCGACTGAAAACATAACTGTTTTTTTTTGCGATACGGAAGAAAACTTGAAAAACAACCTTTTAAAACGCAGGAAACACTGAAAAAAAACCTTTAAAAACACCGAAATAAAACCTTAAAACCTTATAAAAAAGAGAAACCTTAAATCCCCACCCTGGCCATCGCTAGCGTATCATATTGAAGTAATGACTCCACAGTTACAGTAACCACAGATTACCACATTAACAAATAACCTCGCTAGCTTATCATATTGAAGTAAGGCCCCACAGTAACCGAAAACCACCGTAACAGTAACTCGCAAGCATAACAATATTAAGTAAGGCCCCACAGTACCAGTAAACCCCAGTAACAGTACCACAGTAACAGTAACCTCGCTAGCTTATCAATATTGAAGTAAGGACCCACAGTAAACAGTAACCAACAGTAATCACAGTAACCACAGTAACCCACCATAACAGTAACTCGCCTAGCTTATCACTACTGAAGTCAAGGACCCACAGTACAAAAACCACATAACCACAGTAAACTCACGTAAAACAGTCACCTCTCGCTAGCTTATTGACTTTAAACCCTTAAAATCAGGAGGTTGCGTACGCTGAACGGTGACGTATTGAAGATACAGAGATGCAACAACTTGTTTCGGAGCAATACGAGGTCCACGTGATGAATAACAAGAAAGATAAGAAGGAGAAACAGGGAGGCTGACGCTAAAAGCTTGAGGCGGATGACTGGTCGTTGATTTTAAAAGTTTTGCCAGCGTCTGTAAAAATTCAACTCTGGTCAATCAAATTGAAGTCCAATCAAACCATAATTCCGACAGTACTCCAATTTCGACTCCAGTTAGAAAAATAGTGCGTTCAAATGAATTCCTAAGTGGCAATCCATATCAGGCGAATGAACTATTTGCAATGTTGAGCAGATTTCATGAATTTAATAATACAACTCTGTTGTCATCAGTTGAGGAACAACCACTACCACCACTAGTTGAGGAATCGTCTTGAAAACACTGTCTATTTATGACGATTTAATCAAAGGAACTGCTATCATAAAAACTGCTGTACTAGAAAGGTATTGAAGTTTAGTTCCCATAACTTTCGCTGTTTGCACAAGAGCAAGTGTAACTGCTCATCCACATATTGTGAACCTGAATGAATCCTATCTGCAACACTAAACTTATCTCAAGGCATGTTGAGTAGCTGGAGTCCAGGGACGAAATTTGCTAAAGGGAGTCGGTAGACTCGGTTTTCAGGGAAGTAGACTTAGCGGGTGTGAGGCGCTCTGCTGATATGCTTTTAAAACATGCACAAAACAAACGTATGTTGGTGCTCCACGTGTTGAATCTACGACTTAAGGCGGGAAATTATTCCCGAGGATCCATTGACAACAGTTCTCCACAGCTTTCTGTCCTCCAACAGTCTAGCTATCTCACTACTGACTATAGGCCCAGAATCTCTGCTTTTAGGTTATCTATGTGTTTAAGTGAGGTGTCGCCCCCTGTTCATATGCCCATGACTCGGCTTCCAGAGGATCAGTTTTGGTTCATGTCAGCTCACGATGTCGGTGAGCATGACCTGCAAGTCTGAGCCATCCGTGGGTTTCTTGGAGCTGACTTTGGGAAGATCACCGTACAGGCTGTTGTTGTCTGACATGGTCTCGATATTGATTGTGTTAAGTGGCCATTCTTAACATTCGCGAATAGCAACCATCAACCCATCTTCTCTAGACATTTTCGTCATAGTCAATTCGGAACCGTACGGTAGCACCGAACTGCCACAAGTGCTGTTAACACTTTGATCTTGATAGACTTCTAAGCTTGTATGGGATCGCGAGCGCCAAAGTTTTTTGAGTGTGTTGCAAGCCCCCAAGCTCTTCCTTTCTAACACCTAATATCACTCTCACTGTCTCTGATCCTATAGCCCAAATAGGCGCAGCTTCCACTGCTCTATTGGTACTGTTACCCAGGGACTAGATGGAATCAGGGTTCTTCCGATGTTCTGATAATGAATTGGTTTAGTGCCACCTCATACATTCTAAATTCCAACTGTAGCAGCAACCCTTTCTACCTCTAGCATCAGCGTCTCTGCCTCTTTACAGTATCAGCTATCAGAGCAATGTCATCTACTGTTATGATATTCTTGCATTAGTATAACTTGATATTCAGTTTATCCAAAGCATAAGTATCCAATAATTAACAATATTCAAGTACAATCTGGGATTCAATTGCTAGTGTATAAGTTATTATATCAATTAATATATGTGTTCTAGATATAGATACGGATTCTGGGGGAGGAGTGGGGCCAACAGGGGGGTGCATTATCGGCGGGGGCGCCAACAGGCAACGTACCCCTCTGTTAGCATCCCAAGTAAGATTAAGTTCCAACTAAAAAGTAGTGAATACGAGGTTCATCGGCCCAAATTATTGTTTTTTTTCGGCTATTGCCTGATTCCTAAATAACCGATATATGATTCTATTCCTATATATAATAGACAAAACGGAAAACTTATGACTAGATCATTTATTTGACAACCAAAATAGATTCTAAATACAACAAAAATAAAGTAAAGATCTTATGTAATATCTGGATAGGAACATAGTCATAATTTATGAGTCGTATTCTTAAAGTATTGAAAAGTATTAAATACTTTCCAACACTATATATAACAAAAAATCGAGAATATGAATGTTATGTACTAAGTAGATACGGTGAATCGTTGGACAGTTTTCTCTTGGTAGCATATACGATATATTTATCAGAAACAAAGTGTAGATAATAAGGTCATTGATTTCATTTACATTGGAGACATAATTAGAACTACTATTTAGCTTTCAAAATTTCTCGGGAGGTCAGTTTTGAAACCGTTTAACAAGACGGAGGAAACAGCACTTTGTAGAGCGAAGCTTTGTGGGAGTTTATAGTTCTGCTGATTTCAATATATTTTAGAGTCTGGTTAAAACGCACCATTGGCACATTCTGATATCCAGTTCTCAATCGATGTACCATCTCCACTTTTAATGGCACCCCTGAACTAAAAGATACAGTTATTCCTCATCCCAATACTGATTATTCATGTATGCTGATGGGTATGTGGTACGAGGGGTAGATGCTATTTGAGCTGGGTGACATCAAGGAATTGGTCGACACTTCTAAGGAAGTGCCCTCTACACAGGCATCAGAGATCTCGCAGGTGCGGCGTGCCTAAATGGATACGGTCCCGGAATTTTGGTTCGGTTAAATTTTAAATCGTTTGTTTCCGATTAATTTTCAGGTCTTAATCTTTTACATCGACACATACAGTTCTAATACCTTCCATTAATACGGGAAATGCCATCTAATTTTATCTTGACAATTTTCCATCACCTCAAATTTTCAATCAGTTTTCAATAATCAATAACTTAACCTATCCGCATCTAAACCGTCAGTATCGCTCAACAGATGGTGGCAGTGAACGGTATTGCCCTAATCGCTAATGGCAAGGAGCTCGCGCCGAAATGGCACTCCGATCCGACCTAATCCCTCCGTTAATATCTCCGTCTCTCCCCTCTCCCTCTCACTTTTCCCTCTCCCTCTCCACTCACTACCTGTCTCCCCTCTCCCTCCCTCCCAGCCATTCCCTCTCTTCTGACTATCTCATCATATGTACATCTAGAGATTCGGCACATGCCTCAACCTTCAAAGATACCTGCAACAAAGTGGGGCCTGCTTGTGGCATACATATCGGAGCAGGCGGACAAGTTGTGACAATAAACTCAGACAGTGCACGAGATTTCATCGGAGCTATTCGTGCTAATGTTCGAGACACAACAAAGATTGTGATTTGTTTGGTGCCAAATGACAGGAAAGATCGATATGACGCCATAAAGAAACATTGCTGCATTGAACAGCCCATTCAATCACAAGTTTTGGTCACAAAGAATCTGAATCCAAAGAAAGCCATGTCTGTTGTGACCAAAGTTGTCCTGCAAATGAATGCAAAGCTAGGTGGGGAGCTGTGGTCGATTGCAATTCCTATGAAAGGAGTCATGTATATTGGTATAGACACATATCACGACAGTGGATCCGCAAGGTCTGTGGGAGGATTTGTGGCCTCTATGAACGACCTGTGTACAAGATATTACAGCAAGACAACTTGGCAAGCATCAAAACAGGAACTGATCAGTCAGCTGGAAGTTTGCACTGATGAAGCTTTGCAACAATATTTTAAGCTTAACAATGCTTTTCCTAGTCGGGTCTTCATCTTCAGAGATGGAGTTGGTGATGGTCAGCTACTAGCTGTTAAAGAAATGGAGCTTACTTCCATCAAGAGAGCACTGGCTAAGCTACCACAAAAGCCTCAACTGATATTCGTTGTGGTAACAAAGAGGATTCAACAAAGATTCTTCTTGAAGCAAGGTGGTAGACTCTCAAACCCTACCCCTGGAACCGTTGTTGACACCAAAGTTACCAGTGATGCTCTGTTTGACTTCTTTTTAGTCCCACAATCGGTTGGTCAAGGTACGGTAACCCCAACTCACTACAACGTCCTGGAGTTCTCCACCAACATACAACCAGATCACCTCCAGCAGATAGCCTTCAAACTCTGCCACATTTACTTCAACTGGACTGGAACTATCAGGGTACCGGCTGTGTGCCAGTATGCCCACAAACTTGCGTTCTTGGTTGGTAACCACCTCAACAAGGACCCATCTCCTCAGCTGGCTAACTACCTTTATTATCTCTAGAACTTGTTGGTGAACCAGAAATATTGGTACTGACAATAGAATCCCGTGAGAGACACTGATTCACGTCTGTGATGCAATCTGCATGCTAATTATTGATTAAAACAGAATTTCATCTATAATATGGCTGCTAAATGCTAATCATTTGTAGTGCAGGAGTATTGATCGAAGTTAAGCTAGGAATGTCTCTCCTAATAGAGCATGGGTGCAATTACCAATGCAGTTTTTGAATGTATTTGGTTTTTTTTTAATTGTTTTGAAGCGTGTCGTTTCGAGAACAGATAGCACCGTGGCCGTTCTAATAAAATTTATTGTTTGTGCAAATTTAACTTTGTCATTAAAATGTTGCATGTCCACGAAGCCCATAAAGCATATGCTATGTGAAGTGATATGAGTTTTAAAAAGAATAGCAACACTATCATATGTACTATCATGGTAAGTAATGAAATTTTGCCGTACCGTTGTTTTTAACTATTATATGTATTAGGGATCGTTCACATATTACATAAGCCAGCCTAGGAGAAGCTAATACGCTGTGTAATATCTTATATGTGTAAAGACAAAGTAGTTGTTTCAGTGAAAAGGTTAGAATTTGGACTGCGTAATGATTTTAAAATAAGCGAATACAAAAGTTCAAAAACGTGAACGGTCCCTTATTGTTGACGATTTCTGTAGATTTTTTCGCTCGGCGACTTATCTTGCCATGCAAGGAAAATACGATATGGTTGCCATTTAATCTGTGTCAACATCCGTTATGAAGGATGCAATTGTGAGGCTGTTTTGCTTTGTTTTTAATAATCTTAATCACTTATTTTTTAGCAAAAATACACTTTGTCAATAAAGGAAAGTAATTTTAGATTTTATAGTTTTTAACTTGAAGGGGTAGTAGCTGCTTACCACAGTACAGTACTTATTACCAGTTTAATGTTTAAAAATAGATTTCAAAGTGGACTCAATATTATATTATTACTATATAAAATATTTCTATCGATTTGGGTTTGTCACAGAGAAATCTTTCAAGCTGAACTAATAGAAATATGGCTCATATCATAATATTAATATTTTTCCTGGAAATTCTAAGCATAGGCTACTCTTAGTTACAGTTCAGTTAAAATTAGGGAAGGAATTTCATAAAATGGACGATTTTGATATTAAATATAAGCATTCTTACCCTTTCAAATCAGTCCCCATTCATTACGTGTAACCAGATTGTGACACTGTAACGATGCTAATGGAAAGTCAATTTGAGCAGACCTATAATCTACTTAAAGGATAAACTCGGCTTTCATGTTTTATCAATCATAGCTAATATCTTACTTTGATAAACTTTTTTTTCTCCTACCGTTCTTTACTGCACAAAATCTCAACCTCTGTTGACATGAATAACATCGATTTGCGTCGTCATATTTAGTTAGTCAATGCCTTGTCTCTCTCGACTTAATCTGTAATCAATCACTAAATTGTAACGCCTTCGCACAACCAACCAAAAATTTTGCCCGAAGTTTTCAGATTTATTGTTAAATAACTATTTGTTATAGTGCATCTTGAATTTTATTCCCGTTACAGGACGGCCGCGATAACTGGCCGCTAAAAACTCTAAATTGCAATCGTATTGCACTTTAAGCTCGCAACTGGAGGCCGGATTTTTGCGGTTGTACTGTATGATCTACAAAACGCAACTTTTATTTTGCCCTTAATAAAAGCCCTTATAAAACCAAAAGAGGGATAATTCATCTACGATGGCTAGGCTGTCCCGGCCTTCTTTTTAACTAGCGAAATCTCTTCTGTCCGCTAAACCAAGTACGCTTTTGCGCGGCACCGAATGTCTTACCGCGAATGTGTAGATCCCTCGATCAAAGTACGTTTCAAAACAGACTGAAAGGAAATCGATCTTATTCATGGCCAAGTGATCACAAATGAACTGATTTCATTTGTATTCCACTTCTTTATCTTTTTCTCGTCAGATTGAATCCCTCAGCCATGTCAATGGGGTACGGAGAACTGGAGGCAAGCAACGATAAGCAGAATGTATCTAAAGTACAGAGGAAGTCCATCTCTTTGAAGCTCAAACGAGACTCTCATGATGAAACTAGTGAGTTCAACTTTTATTGTGATATGCTTCGATAACTTTAGAAAATATTCAATGAATCTGTATTTCTCATTACTTCAGAGTGATTACTTTCAACAGACTGAACTAATTCAGGCAATCCGCTTCCGGTGGAGAAGACTGAAGAAATGAAAAATCAAGCAGAAAGCTTGACCTGGAATTTTAAGGTAAATGTCGTCGATTTTAAACATTTATTTTTAAAAGTGGAATGGGAACGAAAGTGGAATATCTAACGAAAAGTACATTTTGTTCAGGCTTGTATTCAATCTCGTCCCCCCAAAGGTGAAGCTAGCTGGAGAGAAGAAGAAAAATAAGGAAAATTTATTGAATTTCTGTGAAAAGTGTAAACGACCTATCCTCATCCACGGAAGACTGGTCAGTGGTTATAAAATTTGAAATAATCGTTCTATTTTCTGACACAAAAATTGATCAAGTTGAACATTTACTACGAATTTTAAACCACAAGATGTAATGGGAATACCCGACTAAATTCTTGTTTCAGATCCCGTGCAAACATTTTCTATGTCTGAATTGTGCTCAGAAAGGAACACGTAACTGCTTCAAGTGAGTCGCTAATCTTACCGTGTTGGATCATAAGTACAGTTTGGGCAGTTTGCCATAATTATAAAATAAAAATATCGTAATCATAAATACTGAAAAAGAGCAGTCAGGTCTCTAGTCTACTGTTGGTAATATAATAGCTTGCTACACAATATATAATGAAGCAATGTTTCCCAGAAACCTTATATGCCTCCTCAGGTGTGATACTCCCATCAAAGGAATCCAGCCGGTCCCTAAAATCTACGTCTGCGCACACGAAGGCACCCGTCACAGTCTCAACGGTTGTCGCAAATCATACCTTAACTTTGTCGGACTTGATCAACACCAAAAACTAAGGTACAACCACCGCCCTCGCTGCGAACTTGTAACTTGAGTTCCTCCGAGTGGAGTGCGGCACACCCTGAAAAGTGGATCTGTTGGTAAAACTTTGAAATGGATTTTAATGATTTGTCGATTGTTGCATTAATATTTGATGGAACAGGTTCTATTAATTAATTAAAGAACGCGGCGATCGTCCGTGCAAACTGTCTTAAAACTGTTTAGTTATAGGACACGTAAACAACTGAACTATAAACTGAACTAAGCTTGAGAGGTTGAATTGTACAGTTTTTGCCGCTCTACAGACTCTAAATGCAAGAGTGATCTGCTATGGCTGATTATTTATGTCTTTCACCCGGACATCAAGCGGTAGAAATTCTGAGTGATTGGGACTTTGAATGAACTGTAACAAGAACTGTTAAAGTAATTAGGTTGAAACTTAGCTCCCAGTATAATGAATGGTGATCTAGACTACAGGGTCGATAAAACAAGATCTGTTTATTTTTTCTGTGTTTTATTTTCTATTATATATTTCCAACTCTCATTCAACGGACCCCATGAGCCTTTCTCGAAAATGGTTAGTACTCAAGCTTTGCCATTCAGCCGATTATAATCACAATGTCAACTTTATTCGTAGTTTCAAATTCCAATGAAAAACTCACATCGATTTAAATTATTGTTTTGCTAATTCAAAACGTATGTTTTGAAATGGGAGCCTCAACCTGAGCAAGCCCAGTTGGCGATCGGCCAAATTTAACAAATTTCAGACACAGCGGTGACGACGGTATGGCAGTGGATCAGAATGTGGACAGTGATGGAGAACTGAGCGTGAACAAGCAGCATTCCACCCCGGCCCCCACCACTCCTGCCCCCACTGCTCCTGCTCCTGCTGCAGCCCCTCAACCTCAACCCCAGCAACAAGTCCAGGTTCGCTAGTTCCTTAGTTCAGCTACTTTTTGTCGGCTGACTGCATCTTGATTAATTCTTTAGTCTTTCGCTTTTGAAATCATTCAGATTTGTAGTGATTTTCTGGTCTCTGATTGAAAGACAATCAATGGAGAGAATCTTAGCTAAATCATGGTTAAAAGGATAGTATGGTGAAGCCAATTTTAATGAAAATTTTGAATGCTCAAGTACTATGACCGAGTTTAATTCAATCTTATTTGCCAGGTTTCGGCTGCCCCGCCCCAGTTTAACCTGGCTGCTGCTCTTCAACCTACCAGCATCGCCTCCCTCCCGCCGGGCACGATGCTGCCTGGTTCTCACCAGGTGGCTGCTGCTGCTGCTGCTGCCGCTGTCGCTCTCAGCAGACCCGGCATGTTCTCCCAGATCATGCAGCCTCCAGTAAGTCAAACAGAATTTCTATACAGCTTTATTTATCCTTCAATCAGATCTTCTAAAGAGCTTTTTGTGATTCTTAAAATTTTTGGACTGTTAGTTTTTATTTGCCTGGATGTATTCAAGAATACGCAACACAATTTTTATTGCCATGATTCAAATAATCCATATAATTTATGTAATTTCAGAGTGTTGCTCATCCAGTGATGACCAACTCAACAAGACTAACTTTTGCAAATCCAGCCACACGGCCCACTGCTGTTCTTATCTTTCCTCGGGTAATTCTAATTCCATTTTATTTATTTTTTATTTATTTTTTAAATTCCATTTTAGAAGTATTGCGACAATTTCTAGAATAGCACAAAAGCTTAATTTATCTGATTTTTGTAAATTTAATAGTTGACAATGTTTCAGCCTCAGCTGGCAGTCACATCCATGACACCACTTCTTGTCCCTCCACGAGGACTTGGAGCACCACAGATGCTCTCTCTACCTGGCATGCTTCCTCAGCCTTCTGGCATGATGCCAATGCCTCCCAGTCAGTTCCAGACAGTGCCTCAACTCCTCAGTGCAACAACTCAGCAACAAGTTCCACCCCAACACGTGCCCGTACCTCAACACGTGCCCGTACCTCAGCCTGTCCAACCTGAACCTCGCACCCGACCGCAACTCCCCACCCCTCCCTCCATGCCAATGCCTGAGCAAATGCGGGAGAAAGGTCCAACAATACGGGACACTCCCCCTCCTGTCCGCGAGTATACGCCTCCAGTTCGGACTGAATTGCCCGGGCAGCTTAGAGAGGCGCACCCTCAACACTACAGTCCTTCCCATGATGCGCCTCCTCCTCCTCCACCTAGAAACTTGAGACCTGATCAGCGGCCCTCCCATGACCCAAGGGAACAAAACTCACATGACCCCCGGAGAAATAGTGACCCGAGAGAGCCGACAGAGTTTAGAGGTTTTAACCGAGAAAATTCTTATCCTAGCCATGAGTATGACCAAGTTCCAAGAGACCCAAGAAAGGCTAGAGACATCCCACCCCCGCCTCCCCCTAGAAACGGAGCTATGAGATAATATATTGAGGTGGACTTTATAGTTTCCTGATAGTTATTTTATTGATATAAATCCTATTTTTACTGTTTCAGTTTATCAGATTTGGAATGTTTTGAAACTAAGTCAACTTCAAGGGAATCTAGATGTGCACATGTTCTGTTTTTATGAGATTCTTTTGATTGATTCAAACGTTTTGCTAGACAATCGGCGATTACATGCAGAAAAGGTTAAAAACTAAGGCCAAGAATGTTTCAAGATATGTTGATCTTAAAATTCAAGGTAACACAGTTACATGGAAGTCGAATAGATTTGAATCAGAAACATCGTTAGAAATCTTGCTCGTGCTTGTGACGTCGATGTATTTGTCTCTGCTGTACGTTTCCGATAATCGATTTCCTCAATTCTCGAATTTCATTTTTTGGCATGAGCTTATTATTTAATTCTGGGAATTATATGGCAATAAAATAGGACATACTAGTACTACTATACAGTTACTTATGCTGTTAAAAATTCTCTTCAAATTTATTTTCAGTCGATAAAAGATTACAGACAACCGATTCGTGATCCCGATCTTAATTTTTGGAAATTTAAAATCTTTGAAAAAATACTTTAAATCGACGTTCGAGGTAGCTAAACCGTCCAATTGCAGATCTGAGAATGGATGTATTTAAGTGAGCTTTGACCGCTTATCTACTAGCTATTGCGAGGAAGTCACATTCCTCTCATATTGATTAGAGCTCCCAGTCCCAACTATTTCATATTTCAATTTGAGGGACGATTTTCGCATTTTGACTTGACGCTGCAACTCCTTTTGATCGCGCGATCAAAAGGGGTTGAAGCGTGTGTCAACCAAAGGATGAAATGCACGGCTATGTAGCTTCTCTGGGAGAGAGCGATTATATGTGATCGACTCCTAATATGATATGTGGTGCGATTCGGAATCACAGTTCAAAATCAAGTTGATATGTGATATCATTATTGATTATGATATTTCGAATATTAAATGTACGGCATACTTGTCATACGTTGTATGACCCGCCGCGCACGAAGTGCGCGGCTCCCCCTGTATCGTCAGAACGATAAAAAAACACATAGTGAAACGACCGTGGGGGTCGCAACGTGATACAACGGCATACGGGTTTCATTTATAATTGTAAACTGAACAACTGTCAATCAAGCTTACTTGGAGTTTGGGGACCTCAGGCTTAAGTGTTTTAAAGATATGGCGCTGGTGGAGTGAAACTGGCAGGCTGGCGCCGTCCAGTAAACAATCAAACCTGATGTATGCAGATCATGGCAAGTGATTTCACGTGCACTGCACCATGTCCTTAGTATACCATGACATTTACAAACTGCGAACAGTGAAATATTTAACGGGTGATACTCGTAAAATATCTGTTCCATATATTGGACGAGTCCAACTCGGCGCGCGTCCTGGTAGGTTGTAAACCTACAATGAAATATCGGTCATTAGAATATAATAAATTCATGTCACAAACAGTAAACCTATGGACAAGCAGAGTGGATCCCATTTAGTTATCACTTCGCACTAAATTAAGCTCAATTACCTTATCATCATCAACAGCTAGTGATACCTGTACAATATTTATTTAAGATTTTGTAACATCTTCGACGAGTTGTGAAGCAACTCTGAATTCGGCGCCGACGTTTAATAAACCTAAAACCTTATCAGTACCACTACACTTTGAAAACGTTGTCAGTGCAGTCAATACTCAATTATCACCAACCAATCTGAGGAATGGGAATCCTTACAGGGTTGTAACTACAGTTAGCTGAGAATCTGGTAACACTGTCACTAACAGGTTGGAACGCCTTTATCTACATCAATTAACAGTTTATAAGTTTGAGATTCTCTTCAGTCCTCACTTCCTCTCAGTGGGATAACCGATCGTTAAATTCTTTTACTTTTAGCGTTCATAGTTTAAAATGGCCAAATCAGGATTCCCGGCCCTTCTAATCGCGGTGGTCACCTTCATTGCTGCAGCTCATTCTTCAGATCACACTGCTATCAGATTTCCCGAGTCACTGAGCACTGAAAACTACGTGTCACTTACCCCGAATATGACGACTACACAGACAGGCCTGACCATCTGCGGCTGGTTGAAGAAGTCACGGGAGGAAATGGGGTCATACGCTGTTACAGGAGCGGGGGCTTGGTTCAACTATGGAGTTATGAGACAGACAAGTGCTCATAGCAGTGAGATTCTTCTCATGGATAGTATGAGAGAGGTTAGATTTTAAGAACTTCAGCTTGTCATTGCGAATGTTCGTCATCGTGTAAGACTAAGATTTTATGATTTTGACTACATCTGGTTGCTGTTGTCACTGTCAGTTGTGACATTTTTAACAACTTCAAATAAACTTCCTAATTTGTACCAGGTCTACATGTTTGGAGCGAGTGGAGGACGATCAGGAGTTCGCCCCGCTCTTAACACTTGGCAACACAATTGCCTGGTCTGGACCGGACCCCAAACTAAAACCCTGCAAGCGTACGTGGACGGGGACCTCAAGATTGACCTCAACTATTACACTTTAGAGGAAAACCGTGCTCTGTCAGAATAGAAGGAGGATCGATCGTGCTGTGGCAGTACCGACAGAGCAGCGGTAAATTTTAATATTTGTTGTGTTTATCTTCTGTCGTTCGGCCAAGATATCGTAGCGCGATGTTGTAGCGCGATGCGTTACTGTGCCGCGCCGCGCACTCAATAAGGCTTCTCACAGCGACATCCACAGCGACCTGGCTAGATCGGCGAGATGCGCTACTGTGCCGCGCCGAGCTGCCATGAATTGACATCGTCAATTAAAGCGCGATGCACCACTTAACTGGGCCATACCGGGCTGTGAAGGATTTTGTCATACGTTGTATGACCCGCCGCGCACAAGTGCACGGCTCCCCCTTGCCCCTGTATCGTAAAAACGATAGTGAAACGACCGTGGGGGTCACGACGTGATACAAAAAGGATTGACATCGTCATAAAGCTCAATAAAGTCAAAAAATATCAATAAAGCTCAAATAGTTTCCAGAGTTACACTGCAACTTCCAGAGTTATACTGAAACTCCTTATTTAATTTGCAATTTGCTGTATGAATTATTGATTATGATACCTCAATGCTCCACTAATACTGCACAAAATTTATTTTTAGTTGTATCACTTCGGAAAACGGAGCTTACCAATATAATACCAGAAAGCTTCTTACCTGGGGACCCCAGGCTATTATATTTATGTTCATAATCATATCCGTCGAATAGAGATTTGGCCGAGCGTACTAAATCACTCTACAGTCGATCTTCGAGATTGTTCTAAAAGGGCCCCCGACAGTTGAAACCAACTTCAATCAATGTATTTTCGGACGCTGATTCCGAATCACCCCCATGACATCAGACATAGGGTTAAAATGCTCCCCTGACGAGACATAGGCGAAAAACTGTCTCGATCACGTGATATGACCGTATAACTATAAGGAAGTTAGTCTAATTTCTCGTCAGGGTTAGGGTTTCAGCATATGTGATATGCTTTTGTTAAGGATTGGGTTAGGGTTAGGGTTGGGATCAGATAAGAGGGTTAGGGTTTCGAATAGTCGTTCAGGACCAGCTAGAATGTAGAAAACGGGTTGAAAAAGTCACGTGACAGTCGAGTGTAGAGTGATTAATTATCATCCAGATTTGGCGGAATGACAGGCTGAGCGCCGCCCAGTAAAAAGCTTCCAATAACCAAAACTTTCCTGTCTCAGGCAGGATGAAGCACACGACAACTTTCGGTGGAGATATGCACGAGCTTAATCTCTTCAACACTGTTCTCTCCGCGGAGGATGTCGGACGGATCTACCAGGGAGGTGTTTGTGGAGAGATGCCAGTTGATCTGAAGGATGGTATCCTGTTAAACTGGGCTGACTTCCTGGGAGCTGACAAGTTTGGGGCGGTGCACGAGGTCAAAGTGGATTGTAGCAGGTGGAATAGACTAAGGAGCTTTATCGGAATGGAGGTTACCGAGGGACTCATCGAGCACTTGAAAATGTTTCATGACGAATAGACAGTTCAGTTGGACGAATTGTACATATCATTGTATTGGGATTGATATTTTGTTTTAGAGTCTTAAATATATATCATTAAATATATTTTCCAAGATTTATAACGTTACCTATTATGTATTAAACTATGATTACATAGACCATATTTGAGTTAAATTAAAATTTGATCATTGATATACCTTTCAGACTCAGAGCATAATTTTCATTAGTTTACATTTATATTACTGTGCATGCAGTGCTGGACGTATAGTATCCGAACTCTCACTCGGCATTTAAGCATGAACAATGAGTTCCCCATAACACATGTTCATCTTTATGCTTCAGCTTGTTGTCTATATTATTATTATACTTTTATTTATATCTTTAAACTGTTTATAACTATTGCATGGCATATTGCAGCAATAGTAACAGTATATTACACAAGCAATAGTATTGCTTGTGTAATATTGCTTTTGCTTTATCATTAATAATAAATTTGAATCAATATGGTTTTTTAATTTTATAACGTACAAAAATTAGTATAACCAATAACATGAATAAAAGGATCATTCACCGTTTATATACAGTTAAGGGTGCAGGGGGGGGGGGGGGTCTTTATGAAATTTCTCTCGAAATTGATTTTATAGTTGTTTCTGATAGAGGGGAATGATATCTACCAGTTGTTTTTGATCCCATGGAAAAATTTTGTTCCTAGCCGAAATTATCGCCGGTCAAAGTGCAAAGGTCAGCGCTCATGTGTAATTGTATTACGCGAGCGATTTTCAATCGCGCGCCCTGAAAATCGAGTCTGAAAATCTATCTTCTCCTACATTTTTTGAGCAATCACCTCGAAACTGTTAGGATATGTTCTAAGAACCATTTAGAAAATTCTGGTCGATCAGAATTTTTAGATAGGCCTTTAAAAAGTTTTTATTCGATTTTGAAAATCTTGGACCTGGAAAAATCGATTTTTCCAGGTCCAAGATTTTCAAAATCGAGTTTCAAGGTGATTGCTCAAAAAATGTAGGAGAAGATAGATTTTAAGACTCGATTTTCAGGGCGCGCGATTGAAAATCGCTCGCGTAATACAATTGCACATGTGACATGAGCGCTGACCTTTGACCGGCGATATTTTCGGCTAGGAACAAAATTTTTCCATGGGACCAAAACAACTGGTAGATATCACTCCCCTCTATTAGAAACAACTATAAAATCAATTTCGAAAGAAATTTCATAAATACCCACCTGCCCCCTTAACGGGTGATACTCGTAAAATATTTGTTTCAAATATGAAATATATCAAGTGTCAAGATCGTCGACGATCGAAGTCCAACTCTGCGCGCGTCTTGGTAGGTTAATATAAAACTACAACGTTTACCGTTGCGTGTCATAAAAATGATATCGTGGAGATCTGAAAATAAAAGCAATAAAGAAAATTTGATCGTGTCCATGGTCAAGTTTTGATACATGTTACGTATCCCAATATCAGAGATATTATTTTCCGCCTCGCGCGCGAAAAGTGGCATGCAACGTATGTCAAGTCAAGTTCATTACATGTCTTACCTTACTGGGCCGCGCTCAGCCTGTCATTCCGCCAAATGTTTATGAACATAATAGCCTGGGGTCCCCAGGTAAGTCTTACCTGGGGACCCCCAGCTATTATGTTCATAAACATAAAGATTTGGCAGAATGACAGGCTGAGCGCCGCTCAGTATGCAGTTTGCTCTAACCAGAGCCCTCTCGCTTGCAGTAGCGCGCGACCGCCGTGAAACAAGCGCGTCACGCAGTACGCGTAGACACATGGCTATGTGAAGTATGCAGTAATACATGTCTTGTGTCGAAGATTTTGAAAAGAAAAATTTGGTTGACGATTATATGCTGAGGGGTCGTTCACATATTACGTAATCAGCCGAGAGGGGAGGGGCCTTGTATCACGTCGTGACCCCGGCCCATTGTCGCGACCCCCATTACATTGTCGTTTC